TGGGTGATGAAAGCATTTGTTGCGGGTGATAGATAGATAGATAGATAGATAGATATGGACAGAGATCGATAGATATAGACAGAGATCGATAGATCGATAGATATAGACAGAGATCGATAGATAGATAGATATAGACAGAGATCGATAGATAGATAGATATAGACAGAGATAGATATAGACAGAGATCGATAGATATAGACAGAGATCGATAGATATAGACAGAGATCGATAGATATAGACGGAGATCGATAGATAGATAGATATAGACGGAGATCGATAGATAGATAGATATAGACAGAGATCGATAGATAGATAGATATAGACAGAGATCGATAGATATAGACAGAGATAGATAGATATAGACAGAGATAGATAGATCGATAGATATAGACAGAGATCGATAGATAGATAGATATAGACAGACATGAACAGAGATAGACAGACATGAACAGAGACAGACAGACAGATATGAACAGATTTGAACAGAGATAGATAGATAGATAGATAGATATGAACAGAGATAGATAGATAGATAGACAGAGATAGATAGATAGATAGACAGAGATAGATAGATAGATAGACAGATATGGACAGAGATAGACAGACAGCTTGATACATATGGACATAGATAATGGGCAGAGACAGATATTTATAGACAAAAATAAAAGTAGAGTAATACATGTTGTGGCCGAGATAGATAAATAAGTCAATGCAGACAAATTGAGATGGAAAGATGGATTCGAAGAACCTGTAATCAATATAAATGAAGAAGCCGAAAAAGAAGCCATTTATTAATTAAAAAAACAGAGAGAATGCCGTTTATCTAAATTCTAAGGATGTTTTTTTTTTTTATGTATTTTCGGAAAAGATTGAAGTAGTAACAAAGATGAAAGATAATGGCATTGTGCTCAATTCTGTGACCTCCCTATCATTTTCATCTGCTCTATCCCCACCCAATAAAGTCTTTATTTTCCCACTTCTCTATTCCCACACCCTGGACCAAAATGTGCTCCAGGAAGGTCAAATCACCACAGATAAACTCTCTGAGAAAGCCATTATCAACATACACATACTATAGATTATACAAGGGAATTTTTTTTTTCCATTGCAAAAACAACAGAGTAAGTTGCATCAATAGGTAAGTAATTGTGTGTGTGTTAGTGAACTTAGTAGACTTGTATTCTTTTTTTAATCTCTAAAGTTTTTTTTCTTTTTATACCAATGTTCACCCACTACAATACATCTGTATCTGTGTGTTCAAATGTGTATTAAGCAAATTTAATGTGCTTAAATGTAATTAAATGTGTTTAAAATGTTTATTAAAGAAATACTAATTTACACATCATAAAGAATATCATATTTTTTTAATGTTTAAAATGATTTTATTAAATCCTTATTATTAAAAGGTTTTCATATGTCTATCTTTAAATATATTTCCTTCAATTATTATTTCTTTTGCCAGTCCTGGGCATGACAAACTACATTTGGCAGCAAGACTTCTGATCAGGAGATTGGAGGTTCTGAAGAGTGTAGAATCACCTCTTAACAGTTGTTCTCAGGTCCACCCTGACCCTGGGTGGTAGCACCTGTTAGGGTCCCAGCTTTGAGCAAATCGTGAATCCTCAAATAAAAACAAAACACTATGACAGTATAAAAATAGATTTTTATAATAAAAATACCAGCAATACAATTTTATATATAAAATGGCCAATGATACATTTTATCTGTAGTTGAAGGCATAAAATTGTGTTCAAAATATTTAGATTTCGGCATTAAATAACCCATAGAGGTATTGAACTCTTTCATGACCTTAATCCATATAATACCGTACAATTTTTTTAAAGAAATCAAACTGTATTGCAAAATATAACTTTAACAAAACTACAGCATAAAACACATATCACTGCCTCTAGTAATTATGTCCACACAAATATGTATATGTACAAAAGCTGAGTATCATCTACCATGTATTCAGTTGTGAAAGCAGAATAACATATTTTTATTACTTCAAAACTACCAAGAAAATTGAAATTTCAGCATTAAATGACCTATAAGGTGTTGATAAATGTTATATTTCATGCTAAGGGAATAAATACTTAACACCAGGTGGATACTAGAAGAAAGGTTTATCGTACAAAACCAGTACAATATGAAATACGGTACATTTATACACACAGGTCAATTTAGTAGTCAGTGCCACTAATTGGAAGGTGGGACATGCTTGTGTCTTCTCTCTCTCACTCTTCCTCAAGTCTCTCATAGACAGTAGACTTTATAGGTACTTACTACCTATAGTGTAATCATTCATGGGGGTGACTGGTTATTTCATTACATCGATATGCCATTAAACAAATCAACCAACCTACCATTTCCTTTGTTTTTTTACAAAGTTTATCTTTTCACCTTTTTGCTTTAGAAGAGTCCACAATTGTCTTATGAAAGAGAGTGTTATCCAATGCCTCAAGTATAAAGGAAATAATTCTAAACAGCAGGAGGTTACAGAAATTACAGACAAAATTTTTTTCCAACCATTTTGCTTCTAATAATTAACACTATTCCTATTAATTCTGTTCAAGAAATATTTTCAAATTCCAGGTGCGAGAAAACAGTTTATTACGAAAATTAAAATGAAGAAAAGAAAGAGAATAAAAACAATATGGCTGCCATTTAAACATACTGCCTATTCTTTTGATAGCTTGAAAGATAAAGACAGGCTTTAAGCAATTCTTGCTTCACTGTATTGACGTATTGATGCTAGACTATAAAAGATGCAACAACAGAGTCTGATCTGTGTTAATGCAATTAAAGCAATTGTTCCTCCATAATAAATGCAGCAACTGTACTTAGTACTTATCGTTCAAAGTGCAATCTTGGTTTTTCTTCACTCTCTATATGTTTATTGTTAACAGGAAACAGCTGAATGCTTCTGAAGTCGATGAATTATAATAAGCAAGAATCAAAACAAAACCTAGTAGTAACATTTGCCTTCATTCCTGACCAATGAAAACCCCTTCCCGATTTTCAGTGCATTTCTATAGTAAAATTGTTAGCAATGCATTTATATTATAAATATAATTCACCTATTTTATCTATAATGCTTCATTGATTCTTAACCACCGATAATCAAGTGCAGTATTGTAACTAGACCATTTACATTGTTTGGACTGTTCTCTTCATCTTTATTGTCATACTCACAATGTTTCGGCCATTGCATGCTCTGGTCTTCTTCAGGTGATATATTTTGGACTTTCATACTTTATTTTGTCCATTGTGTGGTTAGTTCTTATTGTATGTGTCATGCCTTTTCTGGATGTCCTAGTTTCAGTGGATAAGTCTTGTTTGAAATAATCCAGTGACTTGACCCAAACAGTTGTGAGTTTTTATGATGTTGGGAAGATTTGCTTGTCAAACGAAAACCCATTATCACTTGCAAAACACTTGTTATAGTCGAGACTTCGTAAATGCCGGTACTAGTAATACTTGTTCAAGTAGTAGTCAGCCAGTAGCATAATGAGCTGAAAAGAATCATAATCCATATAGAGTAAACACATCGCAATAATAGAGAGGGATATTTACCTTACCCCCCCTTTTCATGTGGCAGGATGTGGCACAAGGCCGTTTTTAATGCAGGGTCAAAACTGAGCTCATATGCTCCGGCAAAAATTCCCCGTAGACCCCTTAATAATAGAATATAATAGGCAAACACACTCCCGAACCTTATGCCAATATCCGTATTTATTCATTTCCTTTATTATCACATGATCTTCGTAATGGAATCGTCCCTATTATTCACTGGTGATCTAGTTTCAATCCATAGTGATGGCAACGACACTTACACTTATACAACACCTCACCTTTGAAATGACATCTCCTAGGGTCAATATTTTTTTAGCTTTCATTTGATGGTCAGAAGCTCTGTTGGTCTTCTTTTCCTTTTACTTGGCTGCGCTATTTCTGCTGGTGTAGGAATGTTGAATGTATTGTACAGGATTTCCATTGGGACTTCTGATAGAGGACGTTTCAATTTGGTGAAACAACGTTTTAACTGGTTAATATGTTGTTTGTGCTCCCACCTTTGTCCTTGTATTATGTACGTCATTCAGCCAATATGTTGCAAATTGACACCATCTTGCCAAAATTCCTTCCCCCACTGATATAATTCCTGAAAAATACTTTTTCTTCAGGTACGAAATAAGTATTTGTATATTCCTTCTTTGATATCTTTGCCTTGTGCTCAGATAGTAGCTTATTGAAAACAGACTTGATTTTTCTAGCAAACATTAATTCTGCTGGTGACATTTCCAAGACAGTGTCTGGGTTTAGTGTCATACTGTAAACACTTAAAAACTGTTGAATCATAATCTCGTCCAACTCTTCCTCCGATTTCCTTAAAGTCCTCTTAAATGTGACAACAAAACTTTCTGCAAGTCCATTCGATCTAGGGTGATACGGGGAAGTAGTAATGTGTTCAATTGCTAGTGACTTGCAAAAGAACTTGAAATCATTGGACGTGAATTGTATACAATTGTCAGACGCAATTGAGTCTGGAACACCAAATCTGACAAAAATTTCATGCAAGAAATTAATAGTTACTGTGGTAGTCAGTCTCCTGCATTTTAGTACTTCTCTGTTGGTATGCTATTGTCTGGGTTTTTATAGCCTATATAAGGTAAATTCTCAGACGTAGTTGAAAGCATCTGTGGCAAACAAGATTTGCCTCAATAATGGCTAGCAGTCTGATATATTTGTGTTTCTTTTAAAATTTGTTTTAAGTAGAGTGTGGTGTGCATGTTACTTAGCTAGACAAAAATTGGTGTGTAGTTAGAGATATATATTTTCTAATAATTGTGTAAATTTGGCTTTAATTTGTTAGCTCTATGTGTAAATTGTGTTCTTGTTGCCGCATGTCTTCCAAGATGACCACTAAGGACATTTTGTTGTCGGTATTTACCTCTTGAGGCACAAAAACAAGATTTTTTTTTTCTTTCTGAAATAGCTGCCCAAACCATAACTGATGCTGGTTTCTGGGTTCTGAGGTATTTTCCTGAAATGGCAGGAACTGATTGATGATTTGTTGAAAGAACACGACCATTTTGATGATTAAAAGTCTGTTCAACACTGAACAGTTTCTCTTCAGTGAAGATATTTTGCAGCATTTTATCACGAATTCGTTTCAGCCTCTTTTTCATTGTGGCTGCTGAAAGAAGATGTCCCTTGGTTACCTTGATGACATCCCGACATCATTTTGACATAGCCTCCACAAGGTTCTCTCCGATATTCCTGTCTCCTTAGCCAATATTCTCATTGACCTTCTTGAATTACACCTGATTTTTTTCATGCATTTGTTTAATGATTTTTGGCATTCTGGAGGTGTGAGGACTTCCTGGTCTCAGTCTATCTTTGATGGAGAAAGTCTTGCTGTATCAATTGATTGTCCTTTTCATAAACATCCTATTGATTTCCAGTTAAAAATCTCAGCTGGAGTCCGTCAGTTTTCATGTTTTTCGATTATATACTCTCTTTTAATATCAATAGACATTTTTACCAGTATGTACTAAAACACTTTGAAAATAAAAATAGTAGACATTGTTGAGTGAGTATCAGCCAT